GAGGATTGGGTGAAGGTGGGGGCGTTGTCGTTGACGTCGGAGACCTGCACTGTTGTGGTGTGCTGGGTTTTGAGCCTGGGTGTCCCCAAGTCGGTAATGGTGATGCTGATGTTGTATGTGGCTCTATTCTCTCTGTCCAGTGCTCCATCTGTTACCAGGGTGTAGAAATTTTCTACAGATGGCCTTAGAAGAAAAGGGATATTTTCATCTATGGAACAAATAACCTGTTGGTTATATCCGGAGTCTGCATCTGAAACACTGAAAACTGCTACTATGATTCCTGGGGAGTTTTCTGGGATGGGGCTAAAGAGCGAGGACATAGTTAGTTCAGGAGAATTGTCATTGACATCCAGAACCTGAATGATTAAAGAGCATTTTCCTGTTAATCCACCTCCATCAGTGGCCTCAACGTCCAAGTGATAAGACTGAACTTCCTCAAAATCCAAAGTTTTTCTTAATCGTATCTCTCCAGTAAGTGCATTCATTTCGAAATTTTGGTTAACGTCCTCATCTTGAAATAGTGCATAAGATACCTTCCCGAAGGACCCTTCATCTAAATCGATTGCGGAGACAGTGATAATCAGAGAGCCAGGAGGGTTATTTTCAGGGACCATTGCCTCATAAAGCTGCTGGGCAAACTCGGGGGCGTTGTCATTGCTGTCCAGAACCAGTATCTGAATCTCTGCGGTTCCTGTCCGGGGAGGAGCCCCACCATCTATCGCGATGATGGTTATTCTAAGTTGCGGCTGCTCCTCGCGGTCTAACGCTTTATCCAGCACCAGCTCCGGGAACTTCCTGCCATCACCGCGACGCTGCGTGAGAACGTGGAAGTGCGGGTTGGAGCTGATTGTGTAGCTCTGAAGGGTGTTGCTGCCAACATCTAAATCCTGTGCCATTTTCAAAGGAAATGTTTTTCCTGGTGTAGTAATTTCTGAAATCTTAAGGACCATTTCTCTGGCAGGGAACTTCGGTGCATGATCATTTATATCTCTGACTTGCAAGGTAGCCTGAAAAAACTGCAAGGGTTTTTCTAGTAACACCTGGAAAGGTAGCACACAAGGCTCAGTGGAGCCGCACAGCTCCTCCCGGTCTAGCTTTCCATTTAGCAGTAGCAAATCATGGGTCTGGGGATCAAGCAGCAAATGCTGTCTATTCCCTTTGAAAACAACTCGAGCTCTGCGTTCAGCCAGCTCTCCCACCCTAAGTCCCAGATCCTTTGTCAAATTGGCTACAAATGTACCACTTTCTGACTCCTCCACTATGGAATATTGAATGGAATCTGCATCCGTCTCCAATAAAAATATCAACGTAATAAAGATAGCCACTTGCCTTTTCTTGTGCGGTAGGCTTGTGGGCACCATCTCTCTTGTTAGGTCTGTTGCTGGAGAGGAAATCCTTTTCAGCTCCCAAGCATCGGGTCCACCGTCCACCCTTCCAAATGTGACTTTAAAATTCGTTCTTATAACTTCTCTGGCGATTACAGCCTGCCCGTACGCTTCTCTGTTACCGTTAGCTGTCTATTCTGTATTATCACTAGGGCTTCTAGGTGAAATGGAGTCCGAGGGATCTGCAGAGCGTTTCTTCATTCTCTTAGCCTGCACCGCCACCACGCGTTCAAATCAGTAACTTCACGAGGTGCTTCCACGTTAATACCATTTCTGAAATCTGAGTTTATAAAGACTTTCAGGTAGGGCTGATGTTTCTCAAATTGAATGTGTGAGTCACATGCAGAAAGAATTGTTTAGGAGTCTTATTTTTCTGTGTGTCTATTTTTGTTTTTGCTTGTAAATCAGTTCCTGGGTTCTTTCTAGATCTTGAATCAAATGGCCTAACAGTTCCAAGGGAGACTCTATAAAATAGTCTTTCTCCTTAATGATTCTCATATATACTAATGCTCCAAAATCACTCTTTCATGTAATGTAAACTTCCTATAGTAAACTCTGATTCTTTAGCAGTGTGATTTGTCTTTGGTGAGCAGTGTAAATTTGAGTTCTAGGTATATACTATTTAACTGTCCCAATCAATACACCAACAAATTATACAAAATGTACAAGTTATTTAACAACATAATAATAAAATACAGCAAGTTTTTAAATTTAGTGACTCAGATGGCATGAACAATAGCCTAACTTTACTATATGGTTAAGTCTACACAGCTAAGGGAATAATTAGGCTATTGGAAGAAAAGTTGAAGGCTGGTGGTACTTATAATAGAAACATCAAAACAAAATAAAAGTTAAGAATAACCATTTATTCATTTCGCTTTTATTTCTGGAAATTAAAGTGGAGTAAGAAACAGAAAAACCACAATAATATAAATTTTTACACTAGGATAGTTTGCAGTCAAATTATCTTTTTGTGGTTTTGATCAAATTATGTTAATAAAAGACCAAATGTATTATCCCATTGTAAAGAACATGAATCAATGTCTAAAAATATTCAAAAACACCTTTACCATCCTTAATCTTATAAATACATGCTAAATAAGGTAGTGAAAAGGTGACTTAATTTAGTTGAATATTATGGGATTCCATGATTTAATATTATGGTTATATATATACCTACCTCACCGATTCATGCTCAGATAAACTTAGAAACATCGTGACTTTAATATTCTGAAAAACATGGGTAAATGCATAACACGAAAATAAAATACGCTAAGAAATAATGTCAAACATTATTCACTTTGGATAGATTTCTATTTATTTAAAGGTGAAATCAATGGAGCTCAAGAAAAATTCACTTTACAAAAGAGCCAGGATGATGGAAGATCAAAGATAACAATTTAAGTTTTTTCAATTGTAAGTAAAATAAATAAGGCTAAATTCTAAACTATTACTAGATGAGATTGTCTCATACATAAGAATTACATCTATGCAGCATTAAGGATACAGAATATTAATGTGACTTGCCTCCAGGATTTGCTTTATAAATGTAACTGAGAATGCACTGTTCTTCGAGGCTCTAAATAATAAAATAAATTGAAGTAAAAACAATGGTCATAAAAACTTGCTATAATAAGATTGGTTTGTTCCCTGAAACAGTGATTTCCAGTTCACTTATAAATGCTTCCTCCTAAGTATGTATGTCAATTATGATTGCAACTTGATGGCTTCCTGGCCCTCCAGCTTCTTTTATTTACTGTTCAGCATCACCAATCATCCTCAAATAATTGTTGAATTAGTCCTAATTTTAACATAAGATTTAACAGCAGTACAGTATGTCTCAAAAGCATTTTGGTGAACAAAATATCTTCAAAAACATTGGTATTTATAAACTATAAAAAGAAGATAATATCTCAAATTTCCCTCCAAGTATATCAATTGCGTGTGTCAAAAAGCTCTCTTTGTATAGAATGTGACTTGTATTTGCTTCCTGTCAAATGCTTTTCTGATGTATTTTCATTTGCTTTTATTTGATTTGTATGAGTACATTTACTTTCATTCCACAAATATATTTTGACAAGGAATCAATAGCTCCTTATAAAAAGTCCAAATTATAAGTCAACACAATGAAACTCCATATATATCTTACCTAGTTTCATATTGTCATAGTTAGCCTGTAACTTTCTCTCTGCTCTTTTTCTCCACCAAATTTTTCTTTTAGTTTCTTTTATTGAGAGTAATGGTATATGAAATGAAAGATGTCAAACTTAAAGAAACAAATCCATCCATATAACCTATACCTCTTTGAAAATATACAGCATTTCCATCTTTCACTGGGGATACTTTTGTAACATTTTCCAGTTTAATTTTAATTTTGTGACAATTTTTGTCTTCTCACATAACAGTTAAAAGTACGAAATGAATTCATAATGTCCTATGCTCTTCATGCTCATATATGATAGACAAATACCTCAAACAATAGATATTTTAGATAATTTACCTGGATTACATATATGCTGAAAGATTACTTTAACTGATCAAATGTGAATTATACATTACATTTCATTTAGTTAACTTATAGTTCTTGCCTAGCTGATCAAATTGATTTCAATTAAATACATTAAAAGTTTTATGGCATTATTTTTAAAAAGTCTTCAAGTATACCAAAAGTGAACAAGAAAGGTAAACTTTTAAGGATAAAATAAACCTTTAAAACTCTAATTTAATTACAGTGCATGCAAATCAAACAATAATTCAGGGATGAGATTGAGCTGATTTGTAAATGATAACAAACCTCTCAATTGATAGGAGACATGTTGGAGTACAGTTTGAAAATATAAAAATTGGGGGGGGGCAGAGAGATGGCTCAGTAGAATAAGCACTTGCCTGGCAAGCACAAGGGCCTGAATTCAATCCCCCATCTGGAAAAAAAAATTGGGTGCTAAATCACACCTGAAATCTCAAATGTCTATATAAAGAAAAATTTTTGTCAGTGTTTGGAAATTTTATTGATGCTTTACAAATATCCAGTTTTTCATTTGTTCTAATGCTTTTGCTTTGAATGTTGATATCTCTATTATTTTCTTCCTTCTCCATACCTTGGAGTTTTCTCCTTCTTTTCTAGATTCTTAAGATCTGGAGTGATTTCACCCTTTTCATTGCTGAATGCATGAATCTGAATTTTTTCTTTCTCTTTTTTCCATAAGGTTGGATAAGGATTTATCAATTTTATTTTTTCTTTCAAAGAACCAACTCTTTAATTCTTAGTATTGCTTTCTTAGTCTCCATTTTGTGTTAATTTCTGCTCCAATCTTTATAATTTCTTCCCCTGTATGGGCTCTATTCTCCTCATCGTCTTCTTTTTTAGAAGCTTGATATTTAACTTTAGGTTATTCATTTGTCCTCATTCTATTTTCCAGATGTGAGAATTCACAAATATAAGTTTCCCTCTTAGGACTGCTTTTTTTTCAAAGTTTTATTGATAAACAGATAGCAATGAGACAGTTTCAAATCAAATCAGAAGTACAGTTTCAACAAATAATACACTGCATATATTCTTCTTAGTGGTTAATTGCTGTACAAGAAGTGGACTTGTGATCCTATTTACAAACACCATTAGAACAAATCATTCTATTCATTAAGAGAATGCAACTATATATCTATCCTAACCACTTTGAATACACAGATACAAAATGGACATTCATCGGTATACCTCATTTTTTCTAAGTTCCATTATTGAATATTATAGGTGTGTAAACTCAGCAAAATATTCTAAAAGAGTCCAGTAGCCCATAATAGCACTGGGTCTTCTGTTTAACTGGCAATAGCTTTTATTATGTCCCATAAATTCTGGTATGTTGTATCAGCTTTTTCACTCAGTTGTAGATACTGTTTAATTTCTTCTTTAATTTCAACTGTGACCCACTGGCTGATTAGGAGGGTGTTATTTAATTTGCATATGATTATGGAATTTCTGCAATTTCTCTTGCCATTGAGTTTCCATTTCACTGCCTATGGTTAGGTAATATGCATGGGACAATTGCAATTTCTTTGCATTCACTTAAGCATGTTCTATGGGCTAGTATAGGGTCTGATTTAGGGAATGTCCCATGCTCAGCTTAGAAAATGTGTATTCTGGTGTTATGGGGTGGAACACTGTGTAAACATCTACTAAATCTTTTTTTTTCACAGATTTGGTTCAGTTCTGATATTTGTTTGCTGAATATTTTGTCTAGTTGATCTATCTCTTTGTGACAATGTGGTATTAAGGACTCCTGTTACAATTGTGTTATTGCTTATTCAATTTTTCATGTCTATTAATAATTGTCATATA